CTGCTTCTCTCAGGAATTTAAAGGGAATTCACGGGGAGCCAGTGGAAACCCTATTTTCATCATAAAGATGTGGATTTCTGTGGTTTAAAAGAAAGAAACTGTCACATATAAGGAAAATGGTCATTTTAAATAATAATCATCATGTATTAATATTTTGTGTAAGAAAATGGGAGTTGGTATTGTTTCTAAAAAGTGGGTGCTTGATATGTCAAACAATGGTAAGCTGTTTCAAAACTACTTTTATGTAACAGCTAACAGTATGAAACCACAAGCCTTAGTGAGCCTGAATGCCAGGGGAAACAGCAAGCAGAGGAAATACAAAAATAACACTAGAGCTTATGCTAGCAAGGAAAAAGGTTATGGTGAACTTGTTAAAATTCTTTGAATAAAGATGGAGGGGACTTTTAGGAGAATTGAGTAGGATGTTGTGTCAAAAAGGGGAGGGGGAAATGAACTTGTGTAAGGGGATAAAAGCTGATAAATGTTTTATTCTGTGTCCACTTTCTGTGTACCCATGTTTGCAAATACGTGAATAAACTAATTTGTTGCTTTCAAGTTGTTGTCATAGTCCACTGTTCGTAACAACTAATTGATATAATAAGGCTTGGCTGAAAATCAGGATGTAGACCGGCATGTATCTCTCAACAATTGATACCCCTGCACAGGTAATCCTCGACTTATGATCACAATTGAGCCCAAAATTTATGTTGCTAAGTGAGACATTTGTTAAGTGAGTTTTGCCCCATTTCACGACCTTTCTTGCCACAGTTGTTAAATGAATTGCTGCACTTGTTAAGTTAGGGTTGAATTTGGCTTCCCCATTGATTTTGCTTGTCAGAAGGTCATAAAAGGGGATCACATGAGCCCCAGGACATTGCAACCGTCATAAATATGAGTCAGTTGCCAAACATGTGAATTATGATCACATAATCATGGGAATGCCACAAGGGTCATAAGTGTGAAAAACAGTCATATGTCACTTTTTTCAGTAACGTAACTTCAAATGGACAACTAAATGAACTGTTGTAAGTCAAGGACTACTTACATATTTACAGATAGTTGGCATATAATAATGTACAATTACTCATTGAGCAACAAAATCAATTATTATCCACCAACAGAAATATCTACAGTAGATGATCTTTTATTTTAAAAATGGTTTCATGAGATTTTGTTGATTGCTTGAGAAGGACTTTAATACAAATTCACATGCTTAAGAACAATAGAAGCCTGTTTTTTCCCTTTGTTTTATCTGTTTTATAAATGTATATATTTGTTGGTTAAATGAATAAATTACAAAATAAATACCCATCAGATATTTGGAAAGTTTAAACGATCTGTTATAAATGGCTTAAGGACCTATAGTCTATAACGTAATGTCAATAAATTTCTAAATAATAATATTTCAGTTTTTAAAAATCAGTATAATTGTTTTGGCAGAAATCAGAAAATATATGAATCTCAACTTTGTATATCTAGAATTTTTCTTAAAAATACATAAAAAGACAAATAAGCAGAGACTGGTTATTCACAAGACAATCTTGCGTTGGTGAGCTAATTAGCAGATAAGTTTTAATTCTTCAAAATTTATTTAAACTTCCAAATTAATTCCAACATAATGAGAATCATCCAGAAATGCATGTTACCAAATGAGACTCACTCTTCTAGAATAAGGATAGTTTGCTCAATGGAGTTTAGCAGGTTGGTATATAGAAGTCTATAGAAAAGTGAATGAAGTTAATAAATCTTGCAGTAAAATAGCTCTGGGAATAAGAATTAGCATCTTGTCAGTCCTGGGTCTGAATCTTTTGCATTATTGTTTCATGATAAGTAGATCAAGGAACGATCTATATAACCAAACATAGGATAATTCCTTATCAGTGATGAATATAGGAAATTGTAATTTGAAACAGTCAGAAACTTCTTTCATGCAGATGATTTTTTTTTCTTGGATTTCAATCCTTTTAACTAAGGGATTAGGTTGATATTTGAAAAATGCTCTGATCTTATGAATCAGAGCAGATATTGTTGCATTATAAGGTTAGTTATAAACAGTGGTCTATGTTTATCCAATAATTCTCAGGAGAAACCTCAGGACCAAATGAGAAAGCTTCTTTTAGCTGATTGGCCATAACTTATAGTTCCCTGCATCCCACCAAAACAATTGTCTATAATTATTGCCATTAACTCTGGTGAGAAACCTAGAATTCATCATTTCTGTCTCCCCGTGTGGTTTTTGCCACCTTGTATACATTAACTTTTGCGATTTTTCCTTGGGTTTTGGTCCTTTATAATTACCATGGATTGCACAATATTTGGATTTCTTTTTCTGCATTCCCTTATGTATGTTATATGTTAATATTAAAGTGAATTTAAAAATAAAATTCATGATTTTATGTATATTAAACTTTGTGAAATTATTCCAGTTGAAGTGAGTTTTACGTTCATTATTTATAAAATATGGGAAGAAAAATACTTTTGCTACTTTGCCATTTTAAGCTGTCCAAGATATTTGAATGTACTCATGGATAGGACAGCATATAAATTAGGGCTATACAACTTCAATCAAGTAAAGAACTTCTCAAAGCCTTTATCAAGTTAAAAGTCATAACCCTAAAGTGTTCATTGAGAAAAAAAATAAAGATATATTACTTTATTTGAACAGCAAAATATATTTTACTCTTGATGAAATTCTAAGAATGACAATACAGCTCTGGTTAGAAAGGCAATTTTAAAGCTAGGGTTTGTGTAACAACAATACTACCATCAAAAACCAACTTTAGATGTCAAAGCAAAAATCAAAGAGCATAAAAAACAGTGCTGTTCTCTGTAGACCTATTACCCAGAACCTTGAAATGTACTAGTAAATACTGAAAGATGAAAACCAGAGAATGAGACAACTTTCAGGGCAGAAAAAGGAAGGGGGAGAGAAGTACCAACAAAAATAAACAACTGTATTTGAGATTTTATCTTACATTTTGAACCTCAGATGAATGTCTCGATTATGGCAATTGAAAGGGTAATTCTTGGCTGTGAAGAAATCCCACCCTATTTTAGGCTTGGATTTGACTAAAGCAAGAGAGGTCCAACCTTGTTGTCTGATTTTATCTCCCCTACCATGGCTCCACATGTGTACTTGTTGCAAAGTGCCTGAATCATCATCAGGTGACCATGGGGATGAAGTGATGCAACTTTGAGGACTGGTCATAATCTTTTTCAGCTCTGCCGTTACTTCTAACCATAACTGAATAAGTAGTCAGTTAGCAAGGACTATCTGTGGTGGCACAGTGGTTAGAATGCAGGATTGCAGGCTAATTTTGCTGACTGCCAGGAGAAGTTTGATTCTCACCAGGCTCAAGGTTGATTCAGGCTTCCACCCTTCCGAGGCCGGTAAAATGAGGACCCAGATTGTTGGGGGCAATAGGCTGACTCTGTAAATCGCTTAGAGAGGGCTGTAAAGAATTGTGAAGTAGTATATAAGTCTAAGTGCTATTGCTATCTGTATTCCTGACTACTATGTTTTCCCTGTAGCAACAACTTTGTCAGGTGTGTCGGCTGAGAGAGAAAACAATTGGCCCCAAATCACCCAGCCAGCTTTCATGCCTAAAAGAAGTCTAGAATGCACAATCTGCTAGTTTCTAGTATAGCACCTTAATAACTACATGAAACTGGCTCTCAGCTAATTAATCAGCTAATAAGAAAAATATATTCTCTTCCATATAAAAACCATATTTAAACATTTAAAAATTGGAATATGTATCCTGTCATTTTAATGTAACTGGAGGGGTTTAAACTTAGAATCGATGCTTTCATGTTGCAGTTAACAGGAATTCTATGATGATTTGGCAATATATAAATATAATGAATGAATGGCAGCCACTTAATTATAGTGTGAGATTCATGTTTTGAAGTTATATGAAAAAACATCGATGCATTACCAACCATGTAAGATATCCATAATCCACCCACAGAAAAATACAGGCAACCGTCAATTTAAGAAAACAATCAGGACCAGATCTTCTGTCACTAAGCAATGCCGATTGTTAAGTGAGTTGTACCTGATTTTACGACCTTTATTGCTGATTTCTTAAGTGAATCACACAGTTAAGCAAATCCAGCTTTCCCCACTTTGTCAGAAACCTCTTGGGAAGGTCACAAATGATGATCATGTGATACCATCTGCAATAATCATAAATGCATGTCAATTACCAAATTCTTAATTTTGATCATGTGAACTGCAGGGACACTGCAACAGCCATTCATGTGAGGACTAGACATCAATCACTTTTCAAGGGCTCTTGTTACATGAAGGGTCATAGGACTAGCTATAGATTGACTCCACAGTTACACAAAGACACGTTTGCCATAATACAACCACTAGATGGCATTATACTGTTTCAAATCCAGCCTTTCTAAACATGAAGAGCAACTCACTCTCTCTCACTCTCCCTCCCTCCCTCCGTCCCTCCCTCCCTCCCTCCCAGGTATTTAATGAGAACATATCCTAGCAACTGTTAATATTGCCAGATACAAATCAAATACACCATGAACAGCATGCAGTAATTCCTTCACAAATGCTCTTTAAAACAGCAGTATCCAACCTTTCTGGCTTGGCGGATTAGTGGAAATGGTAGCAGGGAGGATGGTTTTGTGTGCACGCTTTCACAAATGCAGCTTCATGTATGGGCTTGTACATCACTTCTGCAGCCCAGTTAAAAGATACATATCACTTAAAGTTTGATTTTGTAGCATGGAAAATTTTCTAGATTACTCATTTCCAAGTTAGTCATTTAAACCAATTTCTCTATATGCAGTGATTTTTAGCTGATTTGATTAGATTTACATTCAAAAATCTCTCCAATAACTATTCTGCTATTTTATGAGCTTTTATGAATTTCAATCTTTCAGAAAAATCTTGGTAAATTTGCTTTTCATGAGTTGTTAAAGGGTGATGGCAATTTTTCAACCAAAACCATGCAGTGGAAAATAACTTGCAATGAAGTTTGTTAGAAAATATATTCAGAATATCTTGGGTAGAGAATGATGAGTTCTCAGTATATATTTGAAGACTGCTGTTGAAAGAGAGCTGTACTTACTTACTTCGTATCTGCTACATTAGACTTGAACCACATCCCACTTTAATTCCATTGAAACCAATGAGACAAGACAGTGTTGACCAGCTTTAGCCTTGTTGAATTCAATGGGTCAAACACATCACTAACATTAAGTTAGAACCAATTTTATCTTGTATAGTGGTTTATTATGTACATTTATTAAAAAGATAAAAATTGTCTTGAATTGAATTTTACCCCTGGTAATTACCCAGATCTATTCATGCAAGGGGTTTTGGCACTACTTTGGAAGTGGTATGCTACTGCCTTATTCCAAGTTTTTGTAGTCCTATTAATTTGAGAACAGAAATTTTAATTTCAGTGCAGACTAGCATCAATAGATGCTTGCGTGAGTTGCCCTACTTTCACATTGCTCATCAATTTAGTCAACTAGAATCTGAAGAGCTCTACCCAGCACCAATCTGTGCTAAAACCGGATCTTCAAATGAAAACAGATTCAGTTTGTTTGTCCAGGAGAAATATTTACTAAAACAGAATGGAGATTCTCATATAGATTGTAACTGTCACAAAGTATAGAAATATATGTAGCATGGTTTGCAAGGGAAGATTCCAATTTCATTTTCAATAAAGTTAAATAAAATGAAAATAATTTCTATGTACTGCAGCTACCGTATGTTTGCTGTCAATTCTTTACAGGCATCTGTGTTTGTTAACCCAGTATCACTTCAGTGAAGCAACTACATAATTTTCCTAACTCTCTGAACTTTGTAGTCACTAACTAGATAGTCCCAATTTATTACTAGAAAGGAATTGTATTATACTTATGTAATTTCTAAGGTAGCTTTTTCAACTATACCCGTCATTTTTTTTACAATAGTAGTTGTAAGAATTCTTAGTCACCTTCAGTGTCAATATAGCCAGATAAGTAGAACAGTCCTAATCAGTGGCTGAAAAAAATACTAAACTAGATGAAATGGTATACTGACATCATATTCTGTTCCCAATAGGATACTTATATTGCATCTTTGGAAGGAATTGCAGTTTACATCATAAATTGAAAATCACCAAAACTGAGAAGAAATCAATATATAACAGCTTCTATATATATAGAAATACTGTAGTATATCACGTTATAGTAAAAGCTAATTTTAGAATTACCATTTAGAAAATATGTTTAGATGCACAAATACAGTGCATTTGACTTATTTGACATCTCAATCCGTGGAGTCTGTATTAAAAAAACCTTTTTATAAATTCAATACATTAACTGCATAAATTCAGAAAATTACCTAGTTATTTTGCAATTAGCTTAATATCAACTTCTAATTTTCAGTAAGTTGACTGAACTAGTATAAGGAGATCTTGTGCAAATATGCTGAACTTTGTAGTTTTTGCTTACGACAGGGGTGTCAAACTTGTGTCGTCATGGCCGAGTCATGTGACATATGTGACTTTTTTCCCCTTCGCTAAACCGGGGGTAGGCATGACCAGCACATAATGCTTCTGGCCCACAAGTTTGACAGCCCTGGCTTAGGAGGAGGAGTTCACATAATCATTAGTTAATTACTAGAATTCTCACATGCCAATTAGTAGTTCTAGGTTAAGCTATCCATTCTATTCATAAGACACTGAGGAAAAATTTTAAGAGTAGGCTTTCCATTTTTCTCCAATGGCAAGCTTGTTTTGAATATATAAATGTGCAAACTATACTTGTTAAAGATATTGCATTAAATTACATTGCAAATGCCAACTCAACAATAAAAATAATTCAGTAATTTCTTTTCTGGTTTGTTATGAAAGCCATAATCAAAATCAACATCACAATCCATGATTTATTTAAAATTAGTTTGTTTTATCTTAATACCTCTAGTCCTTTCAGGCAATCAAAAAAAAATCTGATTTGTGCAAATTTTTCAGAAGACTGCAGATGGAAAGTTGGTTCTTCTTTTTCCTTTAATTTTTAAAAGTGAAGTCTTCTTTATTCCCCACTTGTTGAAAGCAGCCATTATCTTCTATAAATGGCACAGGACAAACAGGCATGACTAAGTGGGATATGCGGCTCCAGAGCCCACTTAGCTTATCAGTATCCATAAGGTCATAAGAACTGGGTGAGTCAGAGTTTGTGAATTTGGCCCAGAGGAAGTCCCGCACATTTTCCTCCACAGTCTGTAGGCTAATGCTAGGATCCAACTTCTCATTCTCCAGCAAAACTGTCAAAATCAGTGCCACATCTTTGAAAGCAGCACTCTCATGGTCACAGTATTTGTAAAAGATTAAGGTGGAACTTGCAGGCAAGGATTCAAAATGATGTACTACTGCTGCCTTTCCTTCTCCATGGAAACCAACACTCAGCTCCTCATCAACTGCTAGCTTTGCAAGATCATTGCTTAGAGTGGATTTAGAAATTCCATCAACGTGGACTGTGCTGCCTCCCAGGGATGATGAATAGGCACCGGCAATCTGGGTGCTCAGGCACTTCAGAGTTGATTTAGCTTCCTGGGCAGCAGTAAAGATTAAGATAGCTGGTTCGGTGTGGTAGGATGTATTAAGGTGTTTCTGCAATATTTTCCGTACTCGTCCCCACAGCTGAGGACTCTGACCTGGGAAGATATCTTTCAGTGGATTGAACTTTGATAGGAAGACTTCCACCACTGGATTTTTCGGCACATTTGGAGGGTGTAAAGTGTAGTAACAATGGCAACTTATGAAAATAGCAATCAACGCCACCATTATTGCCAGAAAAACTCCATAGCCGAGAAAGCCTAATAATTAAGGGCAGGGAACGGAGAGTGAAGACACAGAAAACCAATCAGAAAACAAGGACATAAGTCACATGCTTAAGACTTTTTAAGACTTAAGTAATTTATTGTTAATAGAAATATCTCAAAGACAAGGGGACAATCTCTAGACAGTAGTAGTAACTAATTCCCACCCCCAAACAGTTCAGGTTCAATTCCTCCTTTTAGTATTAATATCTTTTGTTTGGCTTCAAGAGAATTTTTCCCACCAAACCCCTTACTTTGTTATGTGAACCCAGGCAAATCACAGCTTAACAACTATGTCATACTATCTTCTATAGGCAAGGAGCAGTTAAACCCAATATGTACAATTTCATCAAAACAGCAGAATAAATGAAGTATTGCTTTGTTTTATGAAATTCCACATGCATAGAAAAGAATTTCTTTATACATTTGGACTGCAAAGCTTCTAATGTATTAGAATATCATGTTTAAGTAAAGATTTCATGGTCCCTTGTTAGAGCAAGATATTTCTTTTTTCATTTTACTTGATTTAGCTGTAACATCCTTTTTTACCCAGGAAAATAAGTCTATAAATAAAATAAAATAAAGAGCAAGGGTTACCACAAATATTATCGGGACTTGAATTTCATTAATTATTGTATGGCTTATTTGATCAGCTTTGTAAAAAATCAAGAATACACTTACCATTATCTTGATGAGACTGGGAATTATTTATTACCAGTTTTTTAACTGAGTTCTGTTGATTTACTTCTGGTGTAAGGCATTCAAGTGTCTTCTGAGAATAGACTTCAGACATTAGTTTGGATGTTGTATGTTGGACGTCTTTAAGAAAAAAAGCATAGCAGTATTATGACAAACAACCTGTCCAGTTATAAATCTAATTATGTAATTTTAATAATCAGTACAGCAAGCTTTTTCAACCATTGGTCCCAGATCTCCTCACTAGTATGTCAATGGATATGCGTTATGAATATTACAGTCTAATAACTGAGGAGCCAAAGTCCAGAAACCTGTCCTAATCCAGAATTCCCCAACCTTTCAGATGGGGGGGAAAAGAGATGGTTCTGTGTGAATGGTCAGCAAGCACATGCATGCAACTCCATTTGTGCGAGCAGTGGGTATGCGCACATGTCACTCGCACAAATGGGAGCACATATGGGCTTACCTGCTGCTTGTGCAAGTGGGGATGCGCAAATCCACACTTGCCAGCTGCTTCTGTGGCCTGGTTCTTAACAGCTCATTGCCCAGTAGTGGGCCACAGCCTGGTAGTTGGGGTCCCCTGCCCTAATCTGTAAGTAATCGGTGAAAATTCAGCAATAGTTCAACTTTCTCACGTCTTGTGGCCATTCTATGTTCCTAGTTGAAACATCATACCAAACTATTCTATAATTTCTTTGGATTTGCTCCTAGCTTGTTGTGTGAACCCAGTCACCATAATTTATTTAGCAAGTCACAGCTTAGCAAATTATCTCAGTGTCCCAGTCTTACTATTTTCTATAGATATGCAGCAGTTAAGAAGCCCAACATCTGCAATTCTATTGAAACAGCAGATGTAAATGAAATCTTATGTTTTACAATAGTTCAATTTAGACGTTTCCTGGACTGCAACGTCTCTATTACAATACCATTTTTAAATGAAGATTTCATGGTCCCTAGTTATAGCAAGATTATTATTTTTTTAATTTTACTTGATTTAGGTGTAACACCCTTTGTTTTACACAGTAAATAAACAGTTATGACTACAAATTATATTATCAAGACCTGAATTTAATTAATTACTGCATGGCTTATTTGATCAGCTTTGTTTTGATTTTATAGTAAGTGTACAGAACTAAATAGGACACTCAGTCTATTGGGCAGTGATATCTTTCCTTAAAACATGTACTACCTTAAAAAGGGATTTTTAGCAACCTTTACTCTTTATAGTTTATAAATCTTAGCAAAGTTCTTATCTGAAGAAGCACTGCAACAAGTTTACTTATTAGCACTAACTGCAACTAGAAAAATGTAATTAGTATCATGTTTATGAAACTTTGACCAATGTCAAATATTTTATTCCACTTGTCTAATTTTACATGGGAGTTTGTCAACCCCGTTTGTCTTATATGTTTGCAGTTAAAATATATTTGATACATTTAATAGAATATGTTGTTGTATTTTCTCATTGTTTTACCTGGGCATGTCTTCTCTATGTCTTTAAGGTTTTGAATTGTTTCATTTTCCTTGTCCAAACCATCTTCTTTTGTTTCTTCAGTATGTTTCAGAGAGTGCTGGCTTTGCTGGCCCTGTGAATTGATTTTATCTTCTGGAGCAGTCTCTGTTAAAGATTTTTCCTCTTTCTGAGAATCTACGTGGTCAGTATGGGTAGAACACAACACATCTGTATCTACACAACTATCAGGTAAATCAGCAAAATCATATGGAAGCCTTACAATGCACTCTGTAGCATCACTATCCTCTGTTCCGAGTAGGAGTTTATCAGAATTTGACAGTTTTTCTCCCAAAGAATCCTCTTTTGTTTCTTCTGCCTCATCCTGTTGAAGACTGGCTGAGATATTTTCTACATTGGGGGGCTGAAGAGTCATCTGCCTCTCTGACATAGACTTCTTTTTCTTCTTCAGGGAAGTCTGTATGAGGCAACATACAAAATATGGTTTCAGTAACTTTTAAGTTGTTATGTGCTCAAAACTATTTGTTTCCAAGCATAAAGGAAGCAAAGCACTGTATTTCCAGTGAATTATTATAAATGATTATTTTTCACTGGTTTCTAGTTTTCTTTAAGCATTTTAATAATTTTAATTTTCACATTGTTATTCTTCAGAGGCCAGTGGGAAACTTTTGCCTGAACACAGCTTAACAAATATTTTATAACAGTAAAAAAATCTGGTTTTGTCAATCAATGCTTTCTCTATATTTATATCCTACCTTTCTGTCACGGATTTCAAAGCTGTAAAACTTTTTAAACTTTTAAGAAAAAATCAATTGTCTTAGGATTTTAAAGATAGAGTTGATTTCACTTATGACTCTCCAGTTACTTCAAACTAGACATTCTACTGACTCCAGTTGAATAAATGATCTAAGCACAATTCCTCCAGCTTGCAGCTATCAATTTGCCTCACAGACAGGGAAAAAAAACCACTTCATAGTGGAAACGTCCAAATTTATAAAACAGGCACCTACCACACACTGTTAAAGTACCTTTAGCTGATGCCTAAATATTTTGTATTGCAAGTGACTCAGATCATGTCTCACCTTGTTAAAAAAAAAAAAAGGTAGCTTAGCTCCGGACAGATGAATTAGATCAGCTGTGTCCAACGCATAGCCCTTTTGTGGCCCTGGATAGCTAGTAATGCTCCTCACAAAACAAAAAATGTAACAAAAAAAGTTTAACTATATATATTAATTATATTACAGTTTATGGGCAGCCCAAGACAATTCCTCTTCAGTCAATGCAGCCCATGTAAGCCAAAGGTAAGAAAACTATGAACTAGATCAAGGGTCTTCAAACTTGACAGCTTTAAGACTTGTGGACTTCAACTCCCAGAATTCCTGAGCTAACATGACTGGAGGAGGAATTCTGGAAGTTGAAGTCCACAAGTCTTAAAGCTGTCAAGTTTGAAGATCCCTGAACTAGATTATGACCATAATATAGAGAATAACGAAGTTAATGGGAGATCCTGACCAGGCAGTTCCCCCTCAATTCTTTGCCCTAGGATGCAGGAAGCTTATTCCCTGATTATGCAGAAGTCACACTTATTTGAAGTTGGGGTGTGGTTTATTTCTAGACACAGATGCTTCCATGCATCACGGAAGACAGGAGAACTAAAACAGGGTAACTATTACGGAAAGCAAGAGCAACATTGTTGGAAACAGTATTTTAGGCTTGTCCAGTTACTACATTCATAATTGTCCAAGCCGGTGACAAGTACTTGAATCTTCTCTTAGGGGAATTAACCCTAAAACGGGGCGGGGGGGTGGATTATCTAAAGAGCCTTTCACGTGTATTCACCCAGGAAGCCTGCAGGAAATTGCCTGCAATTCTCACCTTGAACTCGCCCTGGCCACGTTAGCTCGTTACCCTTCGGCGGGAACTAAGTCCAAAACGCCTCTTACTGTCCTCTTCTTCCAATCCGTGAACCCACATTTCTATCAAGAGACTGAAAGGATCCCCTTGGCTGATCTGCAGAGGGTTCCAGTGGTACTTTCGGTGCTACTTTTTCAGCTTTTAACTACCTCGAGCTTAGTCCTTACTCGTAGCCTAAGGCTGGAACAGAAAGGCATCACGGCAAAGGCCATCCTTATGCAGGAGAACTGCAACGGATCGTTAGATAAGCGCAAGTATATCTCTCTCTGAACAGAGTTGTGGGAATTTGGAACCGCGTCCCTTACTTCTCCTCCCCCCCCCCCCCCCCCAAAAAAAAAATTGAAAGGGGAAAAACCGAGACTTACCTTTCCGCAGAAAGTTAGTCATGCACGTTGCTTCGTCCTTCGTCGTGTGAAAGGAGACAAAGATTATATTCAGATCCTATCTTCCTAAAACTAAACTGAAACTCCTTAGATAACTTCCTTGAATCCGAACATACAACTATCCCAGAATCCTTAATTCCTACTAACGTCCGAATGATTTGTTCCGCAGTACAAGGCCTTGTAGAGGGATGCTGGGAGGTGTAGTTTTTCTCTCCGTTGTTCCATGACTATGAGAGAAAGCAATTCACGGGAGCCGCCTTTTCAATAGCCGGTTCGATGACGTTTCTTTGTAAGGTTGTCTCCTCGGCCAATGTTCATTCTGTTTTATGGAGGATTTTTTTCCTCACTCAGCAGCGCCGAGTGTTATGCCTTATCTCTTGAGCAAGGACGGCATAGCTATATAGAGTGCTGATAGCTGTCTTTGGAAGGACAAAATATTGACTTAAAATGATAAGTAAAACAGGGCTTCTGCTTTTTTAATAGTTTTGTACATATGGATGAAAACAATCGAAATGTTGCTGCTTTTGGGTAAATTAGAACTTAGGGTTTTGAAAGCAAATGCATTGTTGATTCTTTGTCCCAAGGTGATTGCTGTTCATAAAGGAGGTGTGTTTGCAAAAGAGACAGTGAAATAAACTTTGGATATAGAATTCTGAATTATGGGTCTTTGCACTCAGCTATGATGGATCATAGCTCACATGAAAGTAGGAATATGCAAGTATGTACAGACAGCTGGGTCTCACAAAGACCAATACTCTTGTCTGACTTCCTTTGGAAGTCAAATACCAAATAAAATTGAAGATTGGGGATGAATGGCAGAGACAGTAGCAGATGAGAATTACTGAAAGGAGAAATTATCATGCTTGTCTTAATTTCAATCTTTCTGCAGAGTTTTGGTAAACAGGGATAGATGAAACAGGCCATATTTTCCAAGCTTTGTTCCTTTCTCAGTCATTTCTTCAAAACTGCAAGAAATTGTCCCAATAGAAGAGGGTTGCACTATGGAGTTTTTGTTCCTCTCTGAATTTGTTTATAAGAACTGTATCAGGATGTATGATATGTAGTTGTTGGCCTGAGCCTAAACTGGACTTTGTTCTTACTGGTGCAAATAGCGAATAAATGATGCTGGAACAAGGAAGGAAACTTTCAGCTATTTCTTTCATTCTTGGGACAGAGGTTCAAATTAAATGCTGTAAGTAAAATGCAGCTCAGATCATTATACAAAACATTTCTTTGTTTTACATGTGCATCTATGTGATTCCCCCCCCCCCAAGGTTGAGGTTTACATTGGTTGACTACCTTCATCCCTTTTGGTGCAAATTTACATTTATTGTATTTAATACAAGATAGCAGAACCTTCCTAATCCTATCATTGTCAGGAATTTCCTGCTGTATCTCTCTGGTTTGTCAGTTTTGCAAGGAAGCCAACAAAAAGAGGGGGAGCTTAGACAATTCAATAGATAATTTAATCAATTCTAACTTTTAGTGACTTGTTTTATATAATTTGATCAATTCATGGCTTGGTGTTGAAAACATTATTTGAGGCCTTTTCATATGTATGGGATTCTTTCCTATAGAAATTATTGCCTTTGAGGTTGCTCCCTTCTCTATTTTCTATTATTTTATATTCATTATGATTTTATTGTCTTAACTTATCATCAAATTATCACCTTTGAGGTATGGAAAAAGATAACCATCTTGTACACTTAAGCAACACACTAAAGATCTGGAAATCCAACAAGATTGGACTATCCTTCCCAAGAATCTTTATTTGAGCAATCAAACTTTTCCTTTTAAAGCAGTGGGATATTTATATCAAATAACCATCCCAACATTCAATGGGCATTAACCTTACCATGCTGCAACAGCACTTCCCACAACACTTTTGGAGGGCCAATACAAAAAAAAAAAACTCCTAGCAGCTGGGATTGTGCTCCTGTGGACAAGGGGCCATTGAAACGATAGCTCACATCCTGCTATAGTACTGTAGATTCTATAAGGATTCATGGACTCCATTTATAATACCGTACCTAATAAAAAATCCAGAGAATACTGATCACTTTTATGTGCAACTGCTGTTATCATATCAATATGAAGTTTTTCTGAATGTGACTACTTCTGTTATGCTGAATGCAGACTCTAACTGTCCACTGATAACCCACCACCATTGCAATATGTTATTTTGTCATTTATTCTTTACTATGTTTAATGCTTTATTTGTAATGTTGGTTTGTGACAGTAATAAAATTGACTTCAATTACATATTTCTAGATAGCCTCTTGAGGGGGTAAATTTTTTGAATAATTCAGGTTTTGGGGGATAAAATAAACTTTTGTACATATAAGAATTTATTTAAGAACAGTTACATTCAAACTGAGTTTACAGGAATTTTGGAATTGCAAATAGATTTAAGGCTATGTCCGGGAAAATTAAGATACAATAATGACAGCAAAGCATGAAAAGAATATATTGTTAAGTACAGAAAAGTATTAATTTTGCACTTCTACATATATAGTCTTGTGCACACTGATTTGGAATCACAGTTGTGCATAGAAATTGATAGATAAATGTGCCCTGGTAGAAATTTAAAACGCAAGAAATAACTACCATAACATGCTAAATATTTAGCTTGGTATGTTGAATCTCATAGTAATCAAAACAGGTACTATTGAATAAAGTTATCATTTCAGTGTGTATAGCAGGATCTGAGATGGATGTCTTATCTATTATTTATTTTAGAAAAATGACTGCATTGTCCAGCATACATCTGTGAACTTCAAAAAATACTGAGACCTTGAACATGGAAGGATTGCTGCATAATAAACCTATTGAAGTTAAATGTACATAAGAGTTTAAGAAAAGTCCAGTTAAGTTGATATTGGCCCCTGGAGACTATTAGACACGTTGATGCAAGTCTTTTTGGCTCCTAAATGCCCAAGTTGTTTGTCATTGGCTTTTTCTGGGGTTCTTGTTCAATTCCCTTGCTTGTCTCCCTTTAATAAGTGTGGTGAATATCAGCCTTGACAAAGTTAGCCAGTTGCTAGTCCAGACCATAGAATCTCAGTATTATCATTCTGGTTTATATAGTAGCATGAATAGACAATAGTTCTTTATTCCTTGAATTTGAATTGCAGCAGCCTTCTTTGGAAATTGCAGTTTCCAAAATATTGTTTTTCAAATAATTTTTTCCTTATTAACAGATGGTATACAAAGATGCAAAATTAAAGTATCTATTTGGTTTGGCTGAATCCATTGGGAGGTTACTTTAAAATTTGCCACCTCCCGTTGACCTATTTACTTTTTTAAGCAGATGCTGGGCTGAGCCAATACTCCTTACTTGATTGTGTACTAGATACTATGTGAGATACTTATCTGGGCTTAGTTTTCGGGGCAACCCTTTTTCTCGGGATAACCCATAAGAGGAGAATAAAATGTAGCTGGTCTTACTCTTTTTTTTTTTTTGTTGCTATCATGTTTGTTGTTCTCCTCGGAAAAGGAAAAAGCACAGATGACCGGGCCAGGAGCGGCTGTCCGTCAAAAATATAGGACCTTGAAGAGGATCAGATTAACTTTCACCAAGGGAAAGGATTAAATCGACTGCTTTGCTCCTGGTAAGAAGATACAGGGGAAGAGGACAACAAGTAAGGGGATAGAAAAAACGTTGAAGAGTTGAGGAGAAGTAAGGAACAAGCGCAAAGAATTAAACTACTACAATATTGGCCTTCATTTCTCTCTTCAGCCTGCAGCGTAAAGTGAAAGTTGGTTGGTGGAAATCGGTTAAAAAGTAAGAAAGAAGAAGGCGACGCTGCAGGTCAGTCCCCGGGGTGGCCGCGCACATCGGCGATAGAAAAACCACCCAGAAAGGATTGGGGAGGCTAGAAGGGGCCGGAGAGACGACTATGCCCGGTGGAAAGCTAGCAGCCTCCTCGGACTCCCCCCGCCAGAGCGAGGCGGGCGGGGACGAGGAGAGGCTGTTCCTGTGGCACGTGACGCCCAGGCCGCCTCTGAGGAAAACCGACTCGCAAAATGGTGGCGGCGGCGGCAGCTTTCGAACGTGCTTCTCCACCCCACAGGGCAGCGGCGGAAGCCATCGTGGTGGTCGTCGACGGGAAGTGAGGTTTTCTGAGGAAGTAATCGAGCACTCGACCCCGAAGACTACGCCGAGTCCGCAAGGCTTTGCGATGTCGGGAAGACGGCTTACCAGAAAGGCTGCGAAAGATGAAAAAGAGGTGGCGGCGGCGGCGGCGGCGGCAGAAGAGGAAGAAGAACGTAGCATGGGGTTCCAACCGGAATGGCTGGCCGAGAAGGAAGGAAGGACCGAGCAGCAGCAGCAGCTCAGAGAGGAGCAACTACCTGGATCTTTCAAAGGTAAGAAATGAGCGCTGGCTTTTCCACGCTCACTGATACCAGTCGGAGGCCAGTCTGCTGGTACTTCGACGCTCGCTTTTTATTTTGGTACTATTTAATTTAAATGCCAGTCTGTGGCTTTCTTTTAGGAAATGTTTCGATTTCTCATTTTTCGACTTCTCAGTCTATTGCCCTCTATAGGTAGTCCTCGACTTACCGGCACAGTTGAGCCCAAAATTTCTCTTGCTAAGTAAGACAGTTGTTAAGTGAATCACTGGTTGTTAAGTGAATCTGGCTCCCCAATTGCTAGCCAGGAGATTTCAAAAGGGGATCCCATATGACCCTGGGACACTGCAACTGTCATAAATGTGAGTCAGTAGCCAAGTATCTGAATTTTGATTGTATGACTACAAGACTGCTGCAATGGTTGTAAGTGTGAAAAATAGTCGTCCCTTTTTTCAATGCTGTTGTAACTTTGAACGGTCAATGAATGAACTGTTGTAAGTTGAGGACTACCTGTATTTTCTGGGTGACCTCCCCTCCAAGTAGTGCAGGCCAAACAGCCTTAAAAAGGCATCCCTGGCCAGATGCTGCCATCTGCTGAAAACAGTGGTGCTCAATTTCAAAATTTCAAAAAAGCTTGCATTTTAACAGTGTGACATAGTGGGCTAAAGAGAACTGTGGGGCAGTTTAGTTAAGTTTGTCCTTCTCCCTTTATGGGAATCGAAAATGCAAGCCAAATCTTATGACTCAGTTAATTGCAGAACTGAGATGTACTGTAATAGTTCTGTTTTTTAGAAATTTGCTCTAAGAAGCTTGCAGGAACTGTGCTTACCTCTGGTTCAGCCATACCCGATTGAATCTATTTATCATAACTTTCCAAAAATAAAATTATACTGCTGGTGATTTATGAATTGATAGTTACATTCTGTAGGAATACATAATAAAAGACACCATGAATTGATCATATAGATTTGTTTTTGATTCTTTTTAAAACTATTGGTAATCCCAGTATATTGTTTTCCAGTGCAATTATTTAACATCTTGCTAGCAATAGTAGTTTTTAAAAACATTTCTGAAATATGAGACAAAAGTGATTTTAGCTGGTAAAAATCACAAGAGGTGTCCACAGATATTTTAGCACCTATGCATATAGCATTTTATAGGATTAAGAGTGATATAATACACTGCTCAAAAAAATAAAGGGAACACTTAAACACTTAAACTCCAAGTCAGTCACACTTCTGTGAAATCAAACTGTCCACTTAGGTAGCAACACTGACTGACAATCAATTTCACATGCTGTTGTGCAAATGGAATAGACAACAGGTGGAAAGCATAGGCAGTTAGCAAGACATCCCCAATAAAGGAGTGGTTCTGCAGGTGGTGACCACAGACCACTTCTCAGTTCCTATGCTTTCTGGCTGATGGTTTGGTCACTTTTGAATGCTGGCGGTGCTTTCACTCTAGTGGTAGCATGAGACGGAGTCTACAACCGCACAAGTGACTCAGGTAGTGCAGCTCATCCAGGATGGCACATCAATGCGAGCTGGGGCATTTGCTGTGTCTGTCAGAGTAGTGTCCAGAGCATGGAGGCGCTACTAGGAGAGTGGCCAGTACATCAGGAGACATGGAGGAGGCTGTAGGAGGGCAACAACCCAGCATCAGGACCGCTACCTCCGCCTTTGTGCAAGGAGGGACAGGGGGAGCATTGCCAGAGCCCTGAAAAATGACCTCCAGCAGGCCACAAATGTGCATGTGGCTGCTCAAACGGTCAGAAACAGACTCCATGAGGGTGGTATGAGGCCCCAACGTCCACAGCTGGGGGTTGTGCTTACAGCCCAACACCGTGCAGGACATTTGGCATTTGCCAGCGAACACCAAGATTGGCAAATTTGCCACTGGCACCCTATGCTCTTCACAGATGAAAGCAGGTTCACACTGAGCTCATGTGACAGACATGACAGGGTCTGGAGATGCTGTGAAGAACGTTCTGCTGCCTGCAACATCCTCCAGCATGACCGGTTTGGCAGTGGGTCAGTAATGGTGTGGGGTGGCATTTCTTTAGGGGGCCGACAGCCCTCCATGTACTTGCCAGATGTAGCCTGACTGCCATTAGATACTGAGATGAGATCCTCAGACCCCTTGTAAGACCATATGCTGGTGCAGTTGGCCCTGGGTTCCTCCTAATGCAAGACAATGCTAGACCTCATGTGACTGGAGTATGTCAGCAGTTCCTGGAAGACAAAGGCATTGATGCTTTGGACTGGCCCGCCCATTCCCCAGACCTGAATCCCATTGAGCACATCTGGGACATCATGTCTTTCTCTTTCCACCAACGCCATGTTGCACCACAAACTGTCCAGGAGTTGGGGGATGCTTTAGTCTAGGTATGGGAGGAGATCCCTCAGGAGACCATCCGCCACCTCATCAGGAGCATGCCCAGGCGTTGTAGGGAGGTCATACAGGCACATGGAGGCCACACACACTACTGAGCCTCATTTTGACTTGTTTTAAGGACATTACATCAAAATTGGATCAGCCTGTTTTTTTCCACTTTAATTTTGAGTGTAACTCCAGATCCAGACCTCCATGGGTTGATAAATTTGATTTCCATTGATAATTTTTGTGTGATTTTGTTGTCAGCACATTCAACTATGTAATGAACGAAGTATTTAATAAGAATATTTCATTCATTCAGATATAGGATGTCTTATTTTTGTGTTCCCTTTATTTTTTTGAGCAGTGTAGTCACCTCTAGAAGAGATAGGTGGCACACAAATCAAATAAATATCTGGATATTTGTTTGTTTATGCTTTATTTTTAAAATACTTTCCCTTCTATATTTAGAAGAATGTTCCTCAAGTGAAGCCAAAAACAGAGTGTCCAACAAAAAATTTAATGGCAAAATGCAAATACAGACAGGTAATATTGGATTTTCTTTATGATAATGAACATTTTGTTAATGATATCTCACTTAACAAATGTCTCACAAAACAGAAATTTTGGGCTCAAATGTGGTTGTAGCTCAAGAATTACCTGTACAAGGATCAGTTTCCATTTCATTATCTAATACTGAAAGTACTGAGTTGTAAGGACAAGGATAGATTGTGAGTAAAATCTTGAAAAAAATGTTATTTGTCTTACATGAGTTGCATATCCTTTAAAACAGGTAATTTAGATTTGTGTTCTTACTATTGTTATTGATGGGAAGAGATACAAGTTTAATGCTAATAGAAGATACTGGATTTTTTTTCCTAGTCTGAATTGTTCTTACTTTTTTTTAAAAAAAGAAATCTTTATAAGTGATTCAGGATTGTAAACATTCATAGTAGTTCTTCCTCTTAGACAAGCAGACTTAATATACAGGTAATCCTTGACCTACGGCCATTCATCTGTCTAGACACTCTGCCATAAAGCCCAGACTGGGGGAGTGGGGAGAAAGCTGCAGTGATACTTGTCATTCCGGAACTCTGTCCCATCCTCCATACAGATCTCTCGAGTGAACATCAGGTTCTTGGTCATCTCTTACTGAGGCTCTTCCCCCCCATTGCTCATTTTGACCATGTAACCAGCTCTTGGAAGAGTCCTGGTTGTGCCAAACTTCTTCCATTTGAGAATTATGGAGGCCACCACTCAAAGTTATGATGCTGAACGAAGGGATCTATGACCTGAACCTGAAAATATAGTTGTTACAGTTATCCATACAGCCATGTGATTAAAAATTCAGGCGTTTGGCAACTTGTCTGCATTTACAACAAAGTGGCACTGCAAATCTTATCTGTATATCTCCCCCCCACCCTACCCCCCACATACACACATCTCAGCTGCCCACTGGACCTGCTAACCCAAGTAAAGATGCCCAGATCCAGGAAGTTTCATCACCATCCAGCCTGCCAGGTTAAGTAAGGCAAACTTATGAGTGCAAGCAAACTGCCCCACTTAATCCTAGTCGTTTTCCTGCAGCTGCTGATAGGTTGCCTAATCTATGCAAGGCAGAAGGAGGTTTCTAAAGCACCATGAGAATAGATTCCACTATCATGGTGCTTCAGAAGCTTTCTTTTTCCAAATTGGCCAATTTGGAGAAGAGGCCTTTTGAAACACCACAGGAGCCGGCTCTGTTTTTGTGATCTTTTAGAAGCATCCTCCTCCAAATGATCCAATTTGGAGGAGGCTTCTGAAGGATTGCAAGCATGGAGCCTGCATGAAGGATGGTGCTATGTGGCCTTGGTATACAGTAAAGACACCACCTCACACAAACTGGACCTTTCTGTCAGCAGCTGGAGAAAAATGGCAAAGGGGGCAGGTGGGCAGCACCTTTCCAACTCATGTATCCTGCATCAGGCCATCTACGGCTTTCCCCACTTCCCTGAGGCATACTGTATTCCTTACCTGTGACTGTTTAACAAGCAAAACCAGGAGTGCAGACTGAGCAAAACAGTCATTGCTTAACACCACTTCGCTCTCCAGCCAAGATTCCAATCCCAATTGTCATAAGTAGCAACTATCTGTATTGATCTTTTTGCTTTGGTATCAACAAGTAAACATTATATACAATTTCTGATCTTTTTTTTTTCTTCAAGAGATCAGTATTGCAGTGTTTGGTGCCAAGATCATATAGTGTTTATGGATATATATCTTCAGAAAGAGAGATACACACATAACACAACAGATGCACTTTTAGGTACATGTAAATAAGTTTGCAGGAAAATGTAGCACACAAAAACATGTATTTTATTTTATATATGCATAAATTTGTAGGAAAAAGGCATATTATTTAAAAACCTAGTGATTTTTTAATATATAAATATGTATATACTATTTCTCATTTTGTCAAGGGGGAACTAGAACTGTAGGTTGTTTTGTCAGATAGGTCTAGCTGGAACAATTTTTTATTTCATTTGTTCCTCTTTTCTTCCACAGAAAATACTAACATCAAAATGTCAGGTGTCATTCTCACTCGACCGCCTATTAGGATTTCAAGAGACGGTAAATAAAACCTGTGGCAATTTAACAAAAAATCTCTGTCATTTAAAGGGCACAATTATTTAGGTTCCGTTTCGATTTGATAAATGTTTCCACAGGTAATTTTGGAGTATTTAAAATGTATATGTTATATTGAATAAATTGTAAGTTGCCCAGAATCATTGATCAAGATGGTAAGCATAGGAATTGAACAAATAAAAATAAATAAAAATATTGTATTACAGGAGAAAAACATGGCATAAATATGTTTAACCACATTGTTTTTGATTCATGTTTCCACCAAGTTTCCATTTATATTGCTCTGTTTAAATAGTTTGAGAATTTGACTTTCATTTGACTCCTTGATACAGAATCCCCTAAAATGGTACCTTGAAATATTTTAGATTTCAGAGTTTTTTTCTTCAACCAGCAGTTTCATGATCCTGACATAACTAATTTTCAACAAGTAACTTTCATCACCTTTCAAGGGATTATGAACATAAACATTAGTTTTGAGACAAACATGATTCCTTTTGTAACGTTTTGAGTACAGTCTACCTCTATTTACTTGATCCTGGATTTTACCTCAAAGTCTGCCTTCTTTTGCCTTACACTGTACAGATAGTACTCGACTTACAGTAGTTCATTTAATGATTCAAAGTTATAACAGCATTGAAAAAGTGACTTATGACCATTTTCACACTTAAAACCTTTGATCATGTGATCAAAATTCAGATGCCTGGTACCTGTTCATACCTATGACTGTTGTGTCACAAGATCAAGTGATCACCTTTTGCAACTTTTGACAAGCAAAATCAATGGGGAAGCCAGATTCACTTAACAACCGTGTTACTAATTTATCAACTGCAGTGATTCATTTAACAACTATGACAAAAAAAGATCAAAATGGAGCAAAACCCACTTAAACATCTCACTTAACAGAAATTTGGGGCTCAATTGTGTTCAAAAGTCAAGGACTTTTCCTCTCTTATTAGAATTGTCAGTTACAAAATTTTTATTAGTTTATCAGAATGTAAAATAAAAAGAAAATGAAAATAATGGGAAACTAGGAGAAGAAAAGGGGAAAAGGAAAAAAAGGCATTGACTTCCCACTTTTTTTTAGCATAATAGAAGATTAGTAATACTATAGCTTCAAATTTTTACTTTTAGACAATAATAAGTACTAGCCATTTCTATAACAACAAACCCATCAATCATCAAAATCAAAGTTTTATTCATTAAATGTTCTTTACTTAGAACAGAGCAATCACTTTAACAATCTGCACTCCCCCTGCCTTCCTGCAAGAAATAATATATATTTCTGTACATATTAATTTTTATAAACTATCATAATTATATTAACATTTACTAATTCAAAGTCTTTAACCTTAAAGGAGAAAATCAATTAAAAAAACACATTTTAAGACTAGAGTCTAGACTTTTCTTTGAAAATATTTCTAAAATCAAATTCTAGCACATCTTTTTTACTTCCTTCTAACATTCATATTTTCAAATTTACTTTAGTTTCACAAACTTTAAGACCCATTCAAGCATTGCAAATGGAAAAAAATCAAACCACTTTATAAACAGAAAACTACATTGGAACTTTCATTCAATTACATATATCAGACTTGTAAAAATCCATCCTAACTCCAGTAGCCTCATTAACTTTAAGTCACTCTCTCCAGTTTATCTTCATAGCATAAAATCTTCTCTCTGGAATGTCTGTCAAGTCTTTTCTCAAAGAATTCTCAACCTTGTTAGTATCCATAAAGAAAAAAATTCTAAACTTGTCCTCTTGAGAATTGTGGATTTGTTTGGAGCTCTTGTTTCAGTTGCGCTGATAGGGTTATGTTTAATCCATCATCGTAATAAAAATTGATATCAGATTTGTATTCCAAAATTGCAGTTAAATCCTTTGCATTGTCAGGTATTTGTGAAATTGCCTCAATTGTTTGATAAGCTTCTATTCATAGTTGCATCTCTTGCTCTTGTTTTGTATCATCTATAACAGGGGTGTCAAACTCAATTGCATTGAAAGCTGCATAAGAGTTGTGTTTGACCTGGGGGGGGTGGCCAGAGTGGACATGGCCAACTCGACATCACCCCTGTCAAGCACCTGTGATGGCCAGGGTGAACCTGGGGGGATCATCCTGCAGCCCTCTGCCAGGGAAAACGAAGCCCAAGAAGGCCATGCACAGCCCCCCTGAACTCCATTTTCACTGGCAGAGGGTGATCCTGAGGGCCAGATCTAAGCACCCTGTGGGCTGGATGCAGCCCATGGGCCTTGAGTTTGACACCCCTGATCTATAATATTCATATCTTCAAACACCATGTTTCTTTGTTTTAGTTTACCTCCAGCAACCCTCTTTCTTGTCATTTAACAATATAGTCTCAAAAATGGTGCAGAGCTTCAAAAAGGAATGAGAGGCTGTGACTAAAAAGAATGTCTTTTAGCTAATATAAATAATAATCCCATAAATTGATTAAGAAATGAAGGCACAACTTATTTTCTGTTTGAAAAATAAATTCCAGAACATCTGCTATAACAATGAAATAATTGCAGCTCTGTACCTCAGCTGAACGCCTCACACGTTGCTCCAAAGCTCAGCTTCTAAAGCTTCTTTCAGACTGCTGCCATAAGGAGCCTCTGTGGCGCGATGGTTAGAGTGTGCAGTAGTGCAAGCTACTTCTGCAGCCAGCTGCCTTCAGTTTGGTAGTTCAAATCCCACTAGGCCTTGAGGACTCAACCTTCCATCCTTCAGAAGTGGGTAAAATGAGGACCCAGATTGTTGGGGGCAATATGCTGATGCTGTAAACCGCTTTGGGAGGGCTGTAAAGCACTATAAAGTTGTACATAAGTCTAAGTACTTTTGCTATAAGGAGGATTTTGTGAGGTGATTCTAGGACTCTCTCTAATCCAGGAGATTCGTATAAACAAAAGGAATCCTGATCCTTCTGTCAGTAAATTAAAAAAACAACAGTCCAGAGAGAAAAAACTCTGGGGGCGTCAACCATCAGCCATGTTCACATGGAGTCCCTTATTAGGATTATCATAAAGATTAGACAAAACACTCTGCATGAATAAATCCAATTATTTTTCATTTTAATTCAAAAGACTACCCATGTTAATCTGTGGGGAAAACAAAACAAAATTGTATTAATCTTAAAAATGAAAGTAACTTTCATCACCTAATTGATCTTTATTCAGCCAGTACATAACAATTTCCTAATAAAGGAGGTTTCAGTGAGGTTAATAAGTTCTGTGAAATGGTGATGTTATTCAAATCCACACTGTTCATGGTATTTCTATGGAAAATATGATAATTAGTTTCAGTTTGAGAAAGATAAACAATGATAACTTTTTAAACATAATTTTTATATGAATATTAACAAAATGTTACAGTAAAAGATACAAATTAATATACCTAAAATTAAAGTATGTGGTTAACAAAATCACAGAATAGTTATAGAAAACAAAGTAAAAAAATCTGTAAATTGAGGCTTTCCAACATCTCCTATTTTAATCTTATGACCACATTCATGTCATTCGGTTACATCAAATTTTTGCTCTAATGTAATAATGAGTCTCTTATTTTTAAGTGTGTAATGTTTTCCTCTGACAGGAATTTTCTCCATTTTGTTCAAATAAAGATTAGCTGCATCTGAAACACTCACTATGCACACGCTTGCTTTAATTGCACAAACACTAGATTCCCATTAACTGAATTTGGTATCACATTAAATGTGATTTAGTATCAATTTACAATTCTCATTAAATCAAATGTCACAGGTTTTTTGAACTTGCACTAACTGTGACTTACTATATAGGTAATCCTCCTTCTCTGCCTGTAACTCCTGAGCTGAATAGATCTTTGAAAGGTAAGCAAAGAAGAGGTTCTAGGGCCTGGTGGATGGGAAGCAGGCCTGAGACCTGTAGGAACCCAGTGGGAGTGGGAGCGGGCCCAGGAGTTGCAGGGATCTTGCATGGCGGGGGAAGTGAAGCGCAAAGGGTGGGGAAGGCCTGGAGCAGGGGCTCCTCATGCCCTGCTTAATGACTTGCACAGTCATTTAACAACAGCATCAGGGAGTGGAGGTTGTTAAGCGGTTCTGTTATGGTCATCGGCCAAGGACTACCTCTACAGCCCTTGTAATAATAGATATGGAAATAATGCATCTCCCAGCAACTCTCAATGTGTATTTTATGAGATTGAAATCAGGTGACTTTGTAGTCACTTATTGATAACAAGTGATAACAGAGGTTGCTAATTTGCCTTTGATACATATTGGTGGGTTCTAGGAGACAGACAGACAGAGGAATATCTGGTTTTATTTGTGCATGCCTAGATTATGTCAGTAGTCTCTTTGACAACTATTCCCAATTCCTCTGTTTTGGGCCTGCCAGTGAATACTCATGTTTCACAGTACAGGCTTTTTTTATTAACTCCTTTTTTTAGACAGAAGCAGCTAAAACTATTGATGCTTATGTTTAAAGTAATCCAGTCACAAACTTCAAATATCTATTTGTCCTTAATGTCTCTTTACAGTCCTGTTCACTCTTTAGGTTTCTTTGAGTAGAGCTTTCTTTCTGTTCGCTGTTCCAAGAATACAATCTTCATATTGTGTTCTTAAAGGAATGAAATCCTTAAAGCGGGAAGAACTTTAAAAAGGGTTTAAATACCTGACTATTCAACTACAGTAGTAGAATATTGTAGGGTATGGTTAATCATCCTACTGTCATTAATCTTGGCAATTCCTAGGTTAAGTCCTGCTTTTTTATTATGGATATTTTTCATCGAATCTTCAGGAAGCTGTTTTTAAGTACACATGGTTGCTGTGTTTTACCTTATTTTTTGCTGGTTTAATTAACTAGCAAATTAATTTTGGATGGAATTTTGTAATTGGTGAATAAATATTTTTAATCAGTATCTGTTCTTGCATTTAGACATACTGTAGTAATGAAGAGATGGGACCTCTTGGATTATATCTCTAATATGATCATTTGTTCTCCTATTCAGATTCTTTTTCAGATTCATGGCAGAATTTGGAAGAATTAAAGCACAGAAAACAAGGTATTTATTAATCTTGTGCTCTGTCATGTAGAATTATGTTATTTGATTTAATATATAATATTTGCATATTTATATTAACTGTACTTCTTATGATCTGCCACTATAAATGATCATTAAACTGCCACGTTGACTGGTTTTTAAATGACAATAGAGGACAGGCCCTCTATTGGTTTTTCTGTGTTTCTTATTTTTGGAGTTGAATAACTAAGACTATAGCTTTATTTTTTAAATTTAAAAAATGTAAATACCCTTTTGTATTAACTTAAATGTTCTGTTTTATTATCATAAAATGCTTGTCTGCAGATCCAGACCTAAAATATTTTCATTCATTTCTAGAGGTTATAGTATTTTCTAAGTACTATAGACTGTTGGATTTGATTTTGGAAGAGTTGCTTTGAAATGCCAAGGTAACCCCTGTGCAATCCTGGAAATGGAGGTGGCAGTTTAATGAATTGTTCTCTTAGTTTTCTGCATGTTTTGAAGTAATTCTTCAAAAGTAAATCTTTAGCATTGTACTGGTCTAGTTTCAAGGATAGGGATAAGGAATCATATTATGCATCTCTAGTAGATCTTTTCAAAATCAAACAAAAGTCTGTGCCCCCAAGTTATTTTAAGTGTAGAGATTTTTTCTTGTTATAAAGGAAATTCACAGATTTGTTAAATGCTTAAATGAAGCATTCCCGTGATTCATCAGATTATCTAATCTCAGTTCTATCAATTTTGTCTGAACCATAGCAAATTATGGTCTTACCCTTGATATATCTAAAAAGATGTATAATTTTTGGGGTGTGGGTGTGTGCGTATATATAGCCAGGGAAGTCTATAATCCTTTTTACCCCAAAGTAATTCTGGCAGTCTAAGATTGCTAGTTTGTTTTGTTCACACATGCTCTCCATCCATAGTACCCCACAGAGAGTGAACTACAGTAGCTTTGCACCAGCTGGTTTGTCGTATTTCTTTGTTAAACTATTCTGCTAGATCTAAGATATATGACATTTCAAACAAGCCTCTTTTTAATTTAACTAATGGGGTTTGATTTTAGAATAGTTGGATTAGAATATGTTTTAAATACTTTTTCATGTGCTAAAATATTTAGCATTTCAACTCCTTAAGAAACACAAAAATATTTGAGAGGGACCACAATTGAGAGGGTGGGAGTTACCTGTGCACATAAAGCCAGAGTTCTACCAGGATTACTTCCTAATATGCTTGGATAAATGGCTATTGACCTGTTTCAGCAAATTGGGAAGTTCAGAATATAGTCTTTAAAGGGCTCTAGCTTCTGCAGAGCAGGTCATTTGCACTACCCCTTTCCTCTCTGCCTGGATAAACAAAGCGCAAACCATATCTATTATCTATCATTTTTCCCCCACTTTGCTTGGAAAAATTGATAACCACCTTGTCAGGGTAGCAGCAAGTTCTTTGATGATCCTTCTTTGTCTCACAAGCTGGAACCCTGTCCCAGCCAGATCATGCTGACTGTTCAATTATTTATGCAAAGCAGAGAGGAAACCATGGGGTAAGGTCTGACAGGGATCTAGCACATTCTTACAGAAGTCCTGCATCCTTCATGGCATTTACAGTCAAAACTGGATAGTTTCTTTCCTGCTAGACAAAGTAGCAGCAAAATTTGGATTTTGTACAATTGCTGCTATAAAGAGCAAGTATCAACACAAAATATATGTGGAACCCAAAAGTGGAAGTGTCTGTCTAAGAATTAAAACACAGATTTTACAAATTATGTAAAAATGAACTCCAATTCCTTCAAATTAAAATTGTTTTTAAATTTGATTGTACTATTGCTTGTTTCTAATGAAAATCTTTTACAGTATAAAGTTGCAAAGTTCTATTGTTGTTTTGTTATATAAATTAAAAAGTAATTACTGAAAGTGATGTATTTATCTCTTGCTCAAATTGTTAGCAAAGGCTGACATAATATTAGGGGATCATAGAATCACAAAGCGTGAGAAGCTCAGTGCTGTACAGAAGAAGGATCTACAAACTACTTTAAAAAGTAAGACTCATTTTTAATCTTTTAGAACTATATAGTGATAACCAATATAGTCTATATATGCCCTGATTTCTGAGATATTGGAGGAATCTGGAACTCTCTGTAATGAGACAAATTCAGATGTGCTTGGTTATGCAGAATGTCTTAACCTTTTTTTATTTTGAAGACTAGGGATACAATCTAATAACTAGATTTCAACTGCCAGAAACAAGCAACTAGTGATAAAATGTACATATGGGACAGCAAGGAGCATTAAAAAATACAATTTACAGTTAGCGCTTACTAGGCTTCTGGATGTAATTCTGTGTGTAGTTATCATCTATAAAGTCATTTGATGACATAGACCAGGGGTGTCCAACCTTGGCAACTTTAAGACTTGTGGACTTCAACTCCCAGAATTCCTCAGCCAGCTTTGGCATAGACCCTAACGGAAGGGTTGCCAGAGTCCTGTAGTGTCCATCTGCTTTGTGTGCTCCGACAGCATTAACCTGCTTCAGATGTCACTGCCAAACTGTGTCATTAAGAGGAAACAGAGAACAACCTTTACTGTTGCTACATTTATGCTGTGCGATAACATCTCTCTTCCTCTGAGATCCACATGATCTCCATCATGCCCATTTTCAAGTATTCTTTAAAATCCCAGCTTTTTCCTAGGCCTTGGCTTAAGAGTGATTGGTAGGCCCTTTTGAACTAAAGAGAGATGATTTTGTTCCCTTGGGTAGCTGTTTTATTAACGTTTTTATGGGATTGTTATTCTAACTTTGTGAAACCACTTTGTTTATAGGGTTGGGCAATGTAGAAATTAATAAATAATAAAACTATTTTCAGATATTAATGTACATTGATTATGGAGGGTATAGGTTTGAGTCACTTCCATGGCAGAGGTTGTTTGGTCAATATATTAGCAAGAACAATATACTGTATATTGATAAATAAACTAAATCAGTTTGGTTAGTTGTGTAGGGTGTGTTTAAAATATAGTGTTTAAACTACAGTATATACTTTATTTTGACTGAAATGTGTAGTTGACACTTTCCTAATGAGTTAGAGTTCTTTGTAGTCTGTTTTCTGGAACACTTGAGTTCTTAAGTTCTTAGGATAAATGTTTAGAAAGACTCAAGTAAATAAAGATATACACTTAATATAATAAAATATGAATGCATTACTGAAAATTTTGTTTTTTCCCTTCTTGCATGTATGTACCAGTTTCTAAACCTGAAAGAAGATACTCACTTACAGCAATTGTGATATTCGTTGCAACTTGCATTGCTGCTGGTGGGTGGTATATATTTTGGCATTCATCAATCCATGCTTCGGAAATTGATTATAAAGTTCTACAAACATTTAAAAACCAAATGAAAGAGCTCAGGAACACCTATCCAAGTCAAGATGCAATAGTGTGGAACAGAATCCAAGGTACTTTTGAGAAACGTCTAAATTCTTCTTACCCTCATTTGGAACCAGCTATTTTATTACTCGCTGCTTCAAAAGAAGCTGAAGATGTGTTGAAGTGTTTAAGCAACCAGATTGCTGATGCTTTCTCATCTTCTCAAGGTGCGCTTACAATTAAAATTGATGGGGCCAGCACAAGAGCTCAAGATAGTGACGCCGTCAAACTTTCTGTTGATAAAAAGCTAAGCTCTGGTTTTGAGAATGGTAACAAAGCAGCGGTAGTCCATCGGTTTGACTCATTACCTGCAGGTTCCACCCTGATTTTTTACAAGTACTGTGATCATGAAAATGCAGCGTTTAAAGATGTGGCTTTACTATTAACCGTTCTTCTGGATGGGGAGTCCCTAAACAAGAGCTTTTCCTTGTTGGAAGTTGAGGAGAGAGTGAAAGATTTTCTCTGGGCTAAATTTACTAACTCAGACACACCAAAGTCTTATAACTACATGGACACAGACAAGTTGAGTGGCTTGTGGAGTCGCATAGCCCATCTAGTCTTACCTGTATGGCCAGAAAATTCGTTCCCTCGAGAGAAATGCTTGCAGATGAAATAAGAAGAGGGAGCAAGAAGAAAACACATTGCAACACGATATGTATTGTATAAATCTGTGAATGTTTATATAGTGAGAAAATGGCAATTTACTAATCAGAATTACTGAAGTTATAGGTGATTCAATATCAGAATAAGATTTCTCCTTTATAAGGAAGCTGATAATCTATAAAGAACTTTTAGACCTTTAACACAATTCTAGTGGTTTATTGGAAATCAAGTTTCTATATACTGAGGGGGGGAGAAATCTTGTTGTTCAGGCCCACCCAACTTTGTGTAATATGAATTTTTTTTAAAGCATCAAAATCCTTACTGTGATTGTGGGCAACAAGGTAAGAAATTATAGTACTAGATTCCGTCTTTCTGCTTGAAGTTTAATGGACTGCAAACTTGAAGTTGAGACCACGTTTTCCTATAGTCTAAGACTTAATTCTGTCTTACTCCATTTCTCAAAACTGCATTAAAAAAAATCTTGTAACTGTGTATTCTGTAAGTTTCTGCTTTGGCTACAAAATTATGTAAGATGGAAGCCTGTTGACTGATAGGCTGTTTTTCTCATTTGAAAACAGCCTATAAATATTATATGTATAGTTTCAAATAATTATCGTTGCCTAAATCCAAAAACACAAGCCTCTTCAGTTAGACTATCAGTACTAAACAACCAAAAGCTTCCTTCAGATTTATGAGAAATTTGAATTTTTTTATTTGAATTTTATTTGGTCAATGACCAGCAAACATTAAATAATAAAATGGGCTATATAAAACAGCGATAGGAAATGCAATCAGGATTGAGAAGGAGAGATAATTGCATTATATATTAACAACTATAAAAGAAATCAAATATGGTATACTCCATAAACATCTAATTACAATAATACCCCATTTATTTATCTGATTAAAGGGGG